TTGTTGCTGACTGCGTGCTGTAAAGAGCTTTGAAAAATAACACACAAAGTGTCAAAGTGAAAGTAAGTTCAAGGAAACTCTGTGGAGGAGGAGGTGGAACCTCAGCAGTCCGACTAGTTTGAGTTCTCTGCTCGTCTGTTTTGTCTTCTGTCAGAGGAAAATGGCTTCTTCTTGTTCAGAGGACGATCTGTGTTGTTCTGTTTGCCATGACGTCTTCACACATCCTGTCGTCCTGTCATGTAGCCACAGCTTTTGTAAAGCCTGTCTGCAGAGCTGGTGGACGGAGAAACAGAAGCAGGAGTGTCCACTCTGTAAAAGAAGATCTTCTAAGTCCGATCCAGCTTGTAACTTGGTGTTAAAGAACCTGTGTGAGGCCTTTATACTGCGGAGGGATCAGAGAGCTTCATCAGACTCTGAGGCTCTCTGCAGTCTGCACTCTGAAACACTCAGACTGTTCTGTCTGGATCATCAGCAGCCAGCGTGTCTCGTCTGCAGAGACTCTAAAAGACACACCAACCACACATTCAAACCCATCGACGAAGCTGCTCAAGATCTCAGGGATGAGCTCCAGGTATCCCTGAAGGGCTTAAGAATGAACTGGAGCACTTTAATACAGTCAAAACAGAGTGGAATCAAACAAGAAAGCACATCAAGGCCCAGGCTGCAAGCACAGAGAGGCAGATAAAGGAGCAGTTTAAGAAGTTTCACCGGTTCTTAGAAGAGGAAGAGGAGGCCAGAATCTCTGCTCTGAGGAAGGAAGAGAAGCAAAAGAGTCTGAGGATTAAGGAGGAGATGGAGGCGCTGAGCAGAGAGATCGCAGCTCTTTCAGACACGGTCAGAGCCACAGAGGACGAGCTGAGAGCTGCAGACCTGTCATTTCTGAACAACTACAAGGCAGCAGGGGTAAGAATCCAGCAGTGCCCCCTGCTGGAGGATCCACAGCTGCACTCGGGAGCTCTGATAGATGTGGCCAAACACCTGGGCAACCTGAGCTTCAACGTCTGGAACAAGATGAAGGACATGGTCTTCTACACTGCTGTGGTTCTGGACCCAAACACTGCCGGTTCAGGACTCATCCTGTCTGCAGATCTGACCGGTGTGAGAAAAGGAGAGCAGCAGCAGCTTCCTGATAATCCAGAGAGGGCGCCTCCTTTTTCCGGCACTGTTCTGGGCTCTCAGGGTTTTAATTCAGGGACTCACAGCTGGATCGTCGAGGTTGGACAGAACAGAAGCTGGGAAGTGGCTGTGTGTGAGAAGTCTGCAGGCGGGAAGGTAGACACATCCTGTGGATTATGGAGAGTGGAGTTCATTTTTAATGAATACAGAGCATACACCACGTTGGATGACTACACTGTTCTGTCAGTGAGAGGACGGCCTCAGAGGATCCGAGTGCATCTGGACTGTGACGGAGGAAAGCTGTCATTCTCTGACCCTGACAATAACGCGCACATACACACCTTCACACACACTTTCACTCGCAAGCTGTTTCCATACATTTGGACTTTTGATTCCCCTCTGAAGATATCACGACTGAAGGTGTCTGTATCAGTGGAACAGTAAGGGTAGAGATGAAGATGCATGTTCTTCTTATCTGAATGGAGTTGGGCTAAGTTTAAGTAACAGATGTTTATTTTTCTCTCTTTTTTTTCTTCAGTAATCTCTCATATTTTGTTTCATGCCCGGAATTTTTTAGAAATCTGTCATCTTCTCAAATTAGAAAGCTGAATGGAGATTTTTTATTTCTCCTGCTCCAAGTGTTAAAAATGACGTCATCAGGACCCTGTTCTAAGCCGAAACGTGTCAGTCTAATTTGTGAATGAAGTGTTGCTGGAGCTATTTGACCTCTTCAAGCACCTATGAGTTTATGAAGTTGTGCCAGAAAATCCCACTCTGAATATCTCTTAATGAAATGTTTGCATTCTGGGTTTTTTGAATTACATGTGGACATCTTGTGCCTGATGATTTTGTGGAACTGATGTTCACCATGTGAGGGAACACAACCATTAAGATGTATTACTATTCACAAAGTGATTATTTATGTTGAAATAAATAACATGATTTGTGACTCTAATATTATGTCTCTTAAGATGTTTATCACTGAATATCATAGCTTTGGGTTTTTTTTATATGACAATAGTTCAGTTAAAAAACATTACACAGCACTCTAGCCAATCAGAATCGAGCAGCTGCTGAGTGACACTGAGGTATCGGCAAGTTGCTGCACCACTAAAAACAATCTCTCTCTCTCTCTCTCTCTCTCTCTCTCTCTCTCTCTCTCTCTCTCTCTCTCTCTCTTTCTCAGGGAGACATTGATTAAAATAAATGGATGACAAGATAAAAAGATGATTAATTCTTAATTAAAATAATAAGCAAACAATCTTTGTTCCATTTTTTTGTTTCTAATATTCAGTGAACTAAGAAAGATTGTAAGACAGGTCCCTGTCTGAGGCTAATGCTTTGAAGGGGGACTTGGCATGACAAACTTTGGGACACCTGTCTTAGTTCATGTGCATTTTTTTCGACATTGTTGGATTTACTTTTAAGTTTTTTTTTTTTTTTTTTTTACTTGTAGTCATGACATTTTAAATAGAATACAGAATGTGATTCATATCTGTAACACATTGTCATGCACCGAAAAGAATTGACCTTATTTTAGTTTAACTGGAATCTTGAAGTTTATTAATAAGTTTCATAAAGTCGCCCAAACAACACAGCGACAGTTTAAAAGCATTAACGACAGGTGAGCCTTGAGTGAGAAGACATATTCATAACACAACAAAACTAAGAGTGCAGTGTAAGATTGGCAACTGCAATAACCAGCATTAGAAGGTTAATAATCAACATGAAATAATGAACTTTGCCTCTAAAGAGAAACGTAATCGTTGACCTCTCTCTCACTGATAACCTGCAGAGCGTAAAGATGCTACTCACAACCAGGACTGGTCTCACAATCTGTCATATGGAGCACTTTTCCAGAGGGTGGGTGTACTTTGGGGCCGGTAGTTTTCTTGTTTTCTTTATAATGACACAACTCCTACTGAGGCGTCTCCACAGCTCCCCCTCCCCACTCTGTTTGCTGATCATTTTGACAGATTGTTTTTTGTAGAGCCAAATGCTAGATGCAAGAAGCTTTGATCAACACACCAACGTAATGTGTGCTGGGCTGAATAGTCCAAGCAGCCACTTCCAACATTCTTATTTTATCCATAGCCTTACCAATAACAAATCTAATGTTTTAGCTAACCAGCACATTTTCATACTGAGGTGATAGCAGATTCAAACTTTTCCAGATCAGTAGATGCCATCTTGTCTTTTATGACACCGCCTCAGCTGCATTCCTTTGTCTATTGAGAGAAACATAATGCAAACCACCATTTCACTTTTGCCTCTGTGACAAATACGACTGCAAATACTTTGAAAAGGATGAATCCATTTTGTCAGGGAATTTTGTCAGCTGATGAGAAAAACAAATGTCGTACAAGATTTCTCAACATCTGGAAGAAAAGGGGATTACAGAAATTGCAGTGCATCTAACTGGAAAAGTTTGATGAGCTACAAAAACATACAAAATGACCTTTCTGGCTTACTTTGCAGCACATGAGAACGAGATCGCCACAGCCTGTGTCCTAAGTAAAACCCATTTTGCCATCTGTCTCGCCAGTCGCTGGTCTATGAAAACCTTATCTTCCTCAGATACTTTTTCACTTTCTGATAGAATTAGATTCAAATGAGGACAGTGATTATGAAAATTTATTCATAATGTGCAGGTAGGTCAGGATAACGAATGATTTTAGATTCTTTGATCACAGTACTTGATACGGCAGCTTGGCCGTCGGATAAAGGAAGCTGTTAACACGGTTTTACCTGGGATGTAACTCTACTCAGATGAACCTGAGGTTTGTGTTGGGACCATTCAGTATGTCACTTCATTGTCTGCAGCCTTGCCAGTGGATATAGCTCAACCCTGGATATTACAAGATACTTATCAGCTTCGTCTCGCAGAGTGGAGAGCAAATGGAGGCATCCAGACAAAGACTGTTTCTCTCTCTATCTCTGAGAATCCTAATTGTCTGGTTTTCTCATGTAGCCAACAAGTGTTACCGCTTTTCATCCACGACTGCCCACCCCTGAAACTCTCTCTTGTTTCCTGGTATCACTTCACTTTGGAAGTTTACCTGCTTTGGCTCTTCCTCTGTCGTGCTCTTGGCAAAAAGACAATCCTCATATCTGGGTTAGAGACCAACACAGGAGCTTCAAACGAAGATTTGGTCATTACTTGAGCCCACTGTTAGCCCAGAGAATTTGAATAATGCCCAACATTGCTGCAAATTTGACAATCATCAAGCACTTCCATTGGCCTTTTGACTATTTCAGTCATCATTCAATGAATATTTTCTTAGTCTGATTGTACTAAAATCAGAAATTATGAATTGGTCGAGCTCTACCAGTCAGCATTGTGCTATTGATGAGAAGTTTATTTGAAATCACCAAGAGTTCCGACTACCTAAGTGAACAGAAAGGGCATTTTTAGTGCCCTATGGCTTCCATAAGAAGTCTAGTTTTGTTCAGCTACTTACATTTTGAACCTACCAATTATATCCAAGACAACAAATTGGTGCATTTACCATTTTACCAAAGACAACACATTGGTGCATTTACCAGTTTTACCCAAGACAACACATTGGTGCATTTACCCATTATACCCAAGACAACACATTGGTGCATTTACCCATTATACCCAAGACAACACATTGGTGCATTTACCCATTATACCCAAGACAACACATTGGTGCATTTACCCATTTTACCCAAGACAACACATTGGTGCATTTACCCATTAAACCCTAGAAAACATATCAGGGCCCCTTCCCCTTTTACCCAAGACAACACATTGGTGCATCACCAGAATCTGTTGATCTTAAGCTGCCAAACCCAAGCTCCATCTTGAATTTTAATAATTGCAGAACTTTTTATACTTAAAGTCTTTGTTTCTCTTTCAGCTTGTTAAAACATGGAGATGAGTGCTTTGAATCTACATCATGTCCCTGTCTATGGAAAGGAAAAGAGTATTACCCTGGCGACAGAGTCTCCTCCCCCTGCCATCAGTGGTGAGTTCATATGTGGAGACTGAGCAACGTACAACATTCATTAAGCTTTAATAGAAAACTTTGGTCATTAACATATACTCTTGTGGTTCACATGATCTTTAACCTTTCATTTTCTTCCTTCAGCAGCTCATAATCCATTTAAACACGCAGCACCAATTTGTATTACTGTCAGCAATCTTCTGCAACAAATCTCCAACAACGTGGCTAATTTATCAAAGTCAGATTCGGCCTGAGAGTGATGACTCTTGAGTCTTTCAGAGCAGGTAAAGAGGCCACCTGATATCCATAATTCTCAGTTCAGTTATCATAGGACAGAAAGAGGCCTCAGAAACAGAGCAGGGCCTTGTGTGACTCTTTGATTCACTCTAGTTTCAGACGGGTGAAAGAAAACACTCTCCTGGTGATCTCAGTCATTCTCCCATCCCTCCACTTCTTCTTCAAGCCATAGCCAGATAAGACGATGTAGATGACAGCCTAATAGCTCAATGAGCGCTGATTCAGCCTTTGACAATCGCTGGCCACTTTTCTGACTGCTGTAAACCCGAGTCTCTCCACAAAAGAAGGCCATTAGAGATGAAAAAAATGTCTGTGCACTAAGTGGGAACAAGTTGATGCTGAATCACTGAAGCTTTGCTGTCTTTGTAGTGTTTGCCAGCATGGGACGTTCCAGTGTGAGTTTCATCCGTGTCCGTCGATGTGCATGGCTTACGGGGATCGCCACTACAGGACGTTTGATGGACTGTTCTATGACTACGTCGGTGCATGCAAAGTGTACCTGGTTAAGGTATTTAAAGTACTTATATTCACAAAAGGAGAGCCAAAAACTGTGGCTTTGCTCAATTTAACCCGTTCACTGGTACATTTAATGGCTTTAGTTTTAGTTATGCAGGGTCTTTTTGGATAATGGTTGCATTAAACATTAAGTGCAACAGCAGAAAAAACTCCTTCTTGTACAAGGCATGAAGTGCAAAGAATTATATGGTCGTATAATTGTATAATTTACAAAATACTTTACTCTTAACATGCTTTACTTTGAGGTAACCTCCATCACTTTATTCAGAACTATGACTATAATATAATGTCAACTTTTGATCTTTATTTATTTGTAAAGCACCAAGTTATAACAAATATTTTCTCAGGACCAGGTCTGGACCACACTCTTTGTTATGTTATTTACAAAGACCCAACATGAATCCATCATGAGCACAGACATAAGGAACTTTTAGCAAAGTTACAGTGGTAATGACAAACATCCCTTAAGAGGCAGAAACCTTGAGCAGAACCAGACAGATGCTGAACAGCCATCTGCTGAAACACTTTTGGGGATGAGAGGGGAGAGAGACAAACAAACAGAGAGACAACAATGAGAAATAAAACAGATGTATAGTTGGTGGACTGATATTGGCTGTAAGTCAACTAGCTCGTATTAATGTATTAATGATAATACACATTAGACTGATATTAATAGTTCTAGCAGTTGGATGTATAAAAGTTTAAGCATTAGCAGAATTCCTCAGTTAGTGAGACCTCTGCAGTTTCTGTGATTGTGTTTTTTCTTGTCCACAGAGCAGCGCTGATATGATGCTCAGTGTGGCGGCTGAGAACGTGGATTGTTTCGACAGCGGAGTCATCTGCAGGAAATCTCTGCTGATCAACATCGGCAGGTCCTTTGTAGCGTTCGACGATGACACAGGAAAGCCAGTAAGAGTCGCTTTGTATACATGTTTCTTTACTTGTTCAAAAATAATCCAGGTTACATCTAAAAATTGATGCATAATTTTGGTTCATCATATTACACTCAGTCAACTCGGGGTTAACATTTTGGTACTTTTGACCTATTCTGACTTGCAGAATCCATCCAGTGTGATTGACAGGAAGCAGAGGATGTTTATCTGGCCAGCTGGATACTACACAGTGGTTCATTTCCCAGAGGAAGACGTCACCGTCCTCTGGGACCGTAAGACAACCGTCCACATCCAAGTTGGACCTCGTTGGCAGGTGAGGCGCTGCGGCAGGGACTTTTCAGCCTCAGTGGAGTGTGCACGATTGTAATCTAAGGTTGCAATGTGGGCTGTTTATCTTGCTGGTAACCTCGCTTAGGTAACCTGTAAAGTCCACTGACTTACTTATCTAATTATTGAACACATTTCTGGTGTTTTATTTGTTAATTCAGACATTTCTTTCTTCCTCTGACTTCTCATTGTGACCTGTTTGTCTGCTGATCTGTTGTTACTGACCTGTGAATTTATTTGACTGAATGCTGCTGTGACTGTGTTTGTTTCCTTTATGTTGTCTTGGCTTCTTTGATGACTCTGTGAAACTGAAGTACCCTTCTGGGATTAATGAAGTCCTCTGAATCGGAATCTGAATCAATCAGACTCAGTGAATTTGATTTCATCCTCATTCAGCCAACAGACTTTTCAGCTGCTGCGTGCTCAGCAGCTTCCACTGCTGGTAGAGGTTCACTCTTATCACACGGGTGGATCATTTTTTAATAAGATAGCTAATGAAGGGCATGATGATATGAAGATCCATTCACAAAGAGAGATGATTCTAATATGTACAGGGGAAGTTAAGCGGGCTGTGTGGAAACTTTGACATGAAGACGGTAAACGAGATGCGGACGCCAGACAACATCGACTCCCCGACTCCGCAGGAGTTTGGAAACAGCTGGACTGCAGCAGAGGTGAGTGAGAGCCAACTCCTGTAACATTATCAACACTGTGAAGCCCTTTGGATTGCACTTTAAAGTTATAAAAAAATTTGAGACTACCTCAGAAGTAGTAGTACTTCTCAACCTTTGATGAAAAGTTGTATGTAGACATCAATGTCCATGTTTGTGTGTGTGTGTGTTCAGTGTGTGAACAGTCCAGACATCAGACACCCCTGCAGCCTCAGTCCTCTCAGAGAGCCTTTTGCAAAGCGTCAGTGTGCCGTGCTGCTCAGTGAGGTTTTCCAGGCCTGCCACCCAGTGGTGAGTAAACATACAGTACAGCTGAACACAACTACCCTGCAGATAGTAGCACTGTTTGAAAGCTCTGAAAGTCTCATGTTGAACTGTAGAGTCCACTCTGATTCACATTTTACTGCTATTGTACCTTAGTATGATGAAATGAAATCCAGAGTTTGCTATGTGAAACTCCTTCTAATGCATTAATTTAATCAAACACTTTTAAATTAAAATATCCATATATAAACTACTCAAAAAAAGTTTGGAAACGTTATTTCCGTCAATTATTTCGCCCCTTTAATAATAATGATTGGTGTTACCAACAAGAGAAATTATGCAGGGGATTTTGGCACATTTTTCTTGGGCGCTACCCACACATTTAGCTGTGTTGCTCATTCCACGACTGCACAATCCTTATAAGTTATACATCGTTGTAAAGGTGACTAATCAGGCTTTCCAACGATATATAATACAACACCAATCAGCATTATCAAAGGGTCGAAATAATTGACCGAAATAACGTTTGTTTCCATTCTTGGTATTTTTGCAAGATGAGTGAATCTTTGAGCTGAATTATTATTTATTTATCAAAAATATTTTCTCTCTATGTTCAGGTGGATGTCACCTGGTTCTACATGAACTGCCTGGCAGACACATGTGCCTGCAGTCGCGGAGGAGACTGTGAGTGTTTCTGCACCAGCGTGGCGGCTTACGCCCAGCGCTGCTGCCACCAGGGCGTTCCTGTGGACTGGCGCTCCCCATCCCTGTGCCGTAAGTCAGAACTCAGGGAGTGAATCACTGAATGAGTGAACACATAAACAACCCTGGTGCATGTTTGTCATGACTATAAAGAACCTTTAACTATCACTGGAACTAACTCTCTCTGTGCTTCCCTTTGCAGCGTATGATTGTGAATACTACAACAAAGGTACGACGACCTCTCCACATATGACATGTTAGCTTTGAGAACAACATCAAACACACAGGCTAAATCTTTGAATGATGGAAACAGCTCAAAGAAATGTAAAGCTGTCGATAAAACAGTTTTTTTTACAGGATAAGATGAATGAGAAACAGAGACTTGACCTCATCAGCCCATTTAAAAGTTCATAATCTGTGTACAATAGTTTAAAAAAGTCAAACTGCAACAGAAAGTCTGTAGAATCTGCAATCATGACATCTTCATAAATACTGCACTAACACGTCCTCCTGTCTGCAGTTCTGGGTAAAGGTCCCTTCAGGTTGATCACCTTCAGGGACCGGACGACGTGGTTGGCGGCCAGCAGGTCCAGCGGTTTGGTTTTCCTGCAGCGCGGCAACCTCAGTGACATCACCGCCTCCCGAGTCCTGTCACAGTTCATGATGACGCCAGGCCTCAGCAGAGCCCGACCACACGGTGAGTTCTTCCTCTTCAGACGGCAGAGTTGGGCCGCAGATGTTGATGAAGTCAGAGAATTGTCAGCCAGTAGTTCGTTCTCCTCTTCCTCTGTTTCCTCTGTTTTAACGGTGTTTGGATGATCCGGTAAAAACACTGATGGACGAGATGAGCCTCAGTGGCAGTTCAGAGATCAGATTGCTAAATGCTAATATGGGAACCTGAGCTGCAGGCTGGACACAAAGCCAAGGCTGGAACACGTTTCTCTCACTCTTACTGCATGGGAGCTGTGATACTGATGTAATGAGGATCCTTTTCAAGAAGAATTTAAAGAGATTAAAAAATGTCTTCAGTGTTTTCTGATCTACTGAAGTTAGAAATGCCTTCACTTGCTGCTTTTGCAACAGGAAAACATTTGAGTTACTTACAGGTAGAACAGGAATAGACTTCTCTGAGCCTAGTACCTTGTCTGACGCGCTTTCCAAAAAATGACTGTGATACAAAAAATAAGTTTGACTTTTACGTTAAAAGAAAAATCTAAGGAGTATATTGTACATTAACTCATAATCAAAGTCATCACAGTGAGCTAAAAGCATAGCAGTCGTCAAAAAACAAGGCTACCCAGCTGAATACCACTGAGAATAAAAGGTGAACAGGTGAGTTAAATCAATACATCAGCAATACAACATCCCCACAGATACCCATGTGACCCACTAGTTCCATACTCAATATAATCCGTAATAAATTATACCATAAACAATAACCCAAATCACCCAAATATAACACATTAAGTGACTTTAAAAAAAGACTTCAAAGATACACTTATGTTCATCCTTGGCTTCAACAGGTCTCTGTTCTGAAGGGTCCTACCCCTTCTTCTATTTTTTTCTTTCAAGCTCAATCGATTAAGTCAAGGATGAGTAATAATAATAAAAAAACAATCCTGTTTCTTGCTCTTTTCTTCAACTAAGAATCACAATAATTTCACAGTACACATCGTGGCCAGCACAAGATCAAATAGAGTGTTTAAAAGCTGGATAGTTTGGTGTTTTTGTAAAGAGTTTGTGCAGACAATAAACAACAGCTTAGTTTCTCAGTAGGTACATTTAGAGTTGGAGAAGCTCCGTCATGTCAGCGCCTGTCCTCTGTCCTTTCCTTTCTTCATCTGGTTCTTGTTGTTGTGATCAAATATGTTGTTTCAATCTGTGCAGACACATCCCGGGTTTCCTTTGAGGCTGCTGACAGACCAAACTACTTCCTGTACGCGAGCCCAAGCGGCCAAGTGAGTTTGAACAAGTGGGAGGACAGCGAGGCATTCTGGGACGGGGCCACCTTCATCCTCCACAGGAACACCTGGATCCCCGGCTACGACTCGCTGGAGTCCCACGCCAAACCCGGCTTCTTCCTGTACGCCATGCTGCCCCGCCTCCACCTGCTCAAACACAGACACACCGACAGCTTCCGCAAGGCCACGCTGTTCAGACTCACAGGTCAGCAGCACTGAAGCAGCCCAAATTGGCAAGATTATATGTTTGTTTTTTTGACAGCACTGTCAAGCAAATCTTTTTCCAACATTAAACAGATTAAGACAAATTCATTTTAATTAAATTCTTATATTATTTAGAAGCTGTTTTCAAAGTGTTAGCAGGCTTCAGGTGAAACTTTGGAGTGCTAAAGCTCAGGTCTACTATCAGAATTCGTCTGTATTTCCTTGAGTTCAGTTTTAGTTTGACTCCTTTGACTTCATATCTGCATAAAACTGATCTTTGTGGGAACCGGTTTGAATTCTGGGTTGATATTTTGGGGGCTTTTAATGCCTTTATTTCAGAGAGAGGACAGTGGATAGAGTCAGAAATCAGGAGAGAGAGAGAGAGAGAGAAAGAGAGAGGGCAATGACATGCAGGAAAGGAGCCACAGCTCAGACTCGAACCAGAGTTACCCGCTTGGAGGACTAAACAGCCTCCACACGAACCACTATGCTACCAGTGCCCCCTGGGTTTATATTTTTGACCCCCATCAGGCATCATTAAGCTTTCTGTTTTTGGGTCAAAGGTCACGACCAGTGACTCCTGTGCCTGCATGCTCTGCCAAATAACTGCTTCTAAAAATACCACAGAATTTGTTGTTTTAGTTTAGTTAATGGAAAAGGCTGAGAAGCCGGCAGCAGATTGTGTTTCCTCTGACAGCAGTGAATGCTGCACATCAGACACACACTAATGGCTTTCTAAGTTTATTACATTACTGCTCTGTGGAAACATTTGTGGGTCCTTTTAAGCTAGTCTACATAGTTCTAATAATTTTATCTTTACATTTAACTTTACTGCCAGGATTTTATTAATGAGAGGGTTTTTATTTGATTACTCCAGAGCAGTTTTCGGACATTATATTTTTTTTGACCCTGCTGCAACACGGTATGGCTTATGTATTGTGACGAGACATTGTTTCAATCCATTTCATAAGATCATGGTTAACTGAGTTTTTTAAGGTTGGTTTCTGGGCTTTTTTATGCCATTATTGTAGATTATTGTAGATTACATTATTACAGGACAGTGGATAGAGTCAGAAATCTGGAAGAGAGAGAGAGAGAGAGAGAGAGAGAGAGAGAGAGAATGACCTTTAAAAGTAAAAACTATTCTATTTTTATAAATAATAAATACTCATGCTTTATTGACTTTGAAGACAAGCAAATGCACATAAATCATATCACTGTAAATATGCAGAGGTCAGCTTATGAGCGAATGTTTGAAGAAGAAAATGTATTTATTTGATACTTCAACATGTATTACAGAAAATTGCAATACAACAAATAAAAACATTACAGAAGTAACAGATAAATAAAAACATGAAATCAAGAATATTCCAAAAATAATGCTAATAGGACAAAATATATTTTCTCTGCTAAAGGGAGATCTTTAGATTTTGGAGAAGTTCAGCGTTCAGAGTGTTAATACAGACATAATGCTGAGCAAGCAATCTGAACTCAAATCAACTGTACCTCTTCTGTCCCAACAGCAGCACAGAGATGGACTTATTTTCTCTTTAACATGACCAATTTGCTTTGTAAAATATCTGCATTGCGTGTGTGTTACACATCAGGTCCCAGCCCAGATTCTCAACCTGCTCCTCGGTGTCAGTGGAGGTATGATTCCTGCGTCGTCCCCTGCTTCAAGACCTGCAGCGACCCGTCAGCTGAAGCCTGTGTCAGCATCCCAGAGTGAGAAGTTTCACCTGTCTAATAAATCTAATCAAAACTCACACAGTTTGCAGAATAGTTCATATGGGAATTTAATGTGATCCTGCATCCTCTTTGACCACAAATACAACTTATAGATTTTGTCTTCCTTTTAGAAATTTGTCCTTTGTTCATTGCATGCTTGTATTATTTAAAGTGCAATGGTTTCTGTTGGGTTAGGGTTAGGGTTAGTTCTCATGATTGTGTGTTATTCTCTGTGCAGAGTGGAGGGCTGTCTTCCTGTCTGCCCATCGCACATGGTCCTGGATGAAGTCACCCGTCGGTGTGTCTGCATTGAAGACTGTGAGTGTTGCCCATTGTTGTAGTTCTCTCAAATGCACATTTTTCAGATTTAGCTAATATCTTATCTTTCGGCCTGCAAATGTAATCTTTGTGTCACTGTAAAAACCTTGCAACTGTGTGTGCAACACAAAAAACCTCCAACCATTTAAGAACAGGTATCATATGTGGAAGGTAATAAAACCTTTGCCCTCTACCGTCTGCTCCCTCTCTTTAAAAGAACAGAGACAATGAACTATGAGGTCATCTACCATAGAGGTTAGGACTGTCTTGAGCTAAGGGCACCTCATAGCTGAGCTCAGCCCAACTCTAACACACTCTTTATTGTTTGGTTTCAGGCATCAAGGTCCCAGTTGCTGTGAAGCCTGTAATACCATCAACTGCTCATCCAACCTCTGCAGCTGTCACTTCATCAATCACCTCAAGCCCTGCTGTCTCCACAACCCCCCTAAAGACCATGACGACCACAGCAGCATCCTCCAACCCTCTGCAGACTGCTTCTACCGCTAAATTCACCACCTCTATCCCTGCAGTGAGCACACACACATCATCTAAGTTACCATCTGTGCCTGAAGAGCAACCGCATCTAACCACCGTCGCCCCCTCTGCAGCTCCTGAGCTCTCTACAACAGTAGGACCCCCTTCTTCATCAACAGCGCCCCCTGCAGTCAGGCCAGAGGTGGAGGAGCCTCTCTCTACTGTTAGGGAAACAGAAGCCTCGGCCACAACTGTAGCAAGTGCAACATTAAGGACGACTGGAGCAGTTAGCTCTACAAGTAACCCCTTTACTTCCAGTACATTCAGAACAAGCAGCGCTCCCTACGCCATCACAGCACTGCTCTGGGTCACCTCATCCACAAAGCCAGACTTCCTACAGCCACTCTACACCACAACTTCCACAACCTTGCAGCCATCTATAGCTTCAGCACCTACCACAAGCACCATTCCAAGACCAACTACCATCACTGCTTCCCCTCCTGTTGTCCTACACCCAACCAAAGACACTACAGAGGCTACAACTCCATCAGCAGCAGTTACTCCAATTGTAACCACTACTAGTCCAAGACCTGAGCCAGTCTCGCAGACATCTGGAATTACTGAAAGGACTACTATACCCAGTGCATCTACTACTGCATCCATAGACACCAGCACCAAGCCTGTCACAGTGGAGCAACCTCCCCCAACAACTACACTTATCCCTCCAAGCACAGTCTCCACAACCTCTTCACCACTCCCAATGTCAACACCTGTAGAAACAGAAAGTGTGCCATTACCCGCAGTCACCTCAGTGAAAACCACAGAATCTGTCACACCAGTTGCACTTTTCCCTACAAGTAGACCAACAGCATACATAAGTCCAGAGGCAACATCACCACCTGTCACAACAGAGAAGATTAATCAGACAACTTCAACAGAACTGACAACTTCTTCAACGACTGTTCCAGAGTCACCAACATCAAGCACAATCCACACAGCACCAACTACAACTGCTCCTACTTCAGCAGCTACAGACTGGAGAACAACAACGACAAAGAAAGCGACCACACTTGAATCCACTGTATCTGAGATACCTGCAACTACCAGAACAACGACTGAACTGCCAACTTTAGAGATCACAGACACCACAACCTCTTCTGCATTCACCACCACAACCTACTCTGAGAGAACATCCTGGTCAGCTGCTGTCTCCACAACAGAGAAAACCACAACTCCAAGAGCTCCAGAGGTTTCAGAATTGTCCAGTGTGCCCGTAAGTTCCACTGTTACAACGAAACCAACTTCTCCACCAGTGTCTCTTCCACAAACCACTGCTGCACCACTTTTACCAACAACGGAAAGCTCCACCCATACTACGTCTACCACTCAGACCTCTGAGCAGTGGCGTCCTTCCCACTGGGAGGCCATCCCTGGCTACAGTCCTACAATGAAGACTAAACCAGAGATCACTTCTGAAACTGACTTCCACTTTGTCACATCCATTAAAACTACAGAAATGTCTGGCCTTCCTGTAACATCCAAAGTGGTTCCCACCTCTGCTACATCATCTGCTGCCACATCAGCCACCACCAGAACAACAATTTCCCCAGAAATCTTAGAAATTCCTGCCACCACAACCAATACACTGGTCACGCACCATCCTCCACCCGGTATTCCTGAGACACTTCTCACCACTGTCTCCACAGGAGCCCCACTAGGTGTTGTTACCACCACTCCCGGACCTGTAATCATACAGCCCATTACAGAGACAACACATACACCAACCAGCAGAGAGGAGTTGCAAACAAGATCCACTGCTGAGCCACCTCCATCTTGGTCTCAATTGCAGACAACTACTTCCACCGCAGCACCAAGGACGACAACTTTCCAGGATAAAGTCACCACTCGGTTGGTATCCACTGCAAGAGCTTCACCTGCTACAACGACTACCACCAGCACTCAGACGACCACCATCAGAACAACCCCAAGAGTTCCTGTGACAGCAAGAGTTACCCCAAGGTCAACCATCAGGCCAATCACTGCAAGGGTTACTATAGCAACAAGGCCACCAACAGAAGCTACCAGATCAACCACTATTGTCCCTATAACTGACGCACCAAGCCCTGGCACAACAACCATGTCAAGAGTGCCGTCTACAACACCTACAGAGTCTGTAACAACAGAAAGAGCAGACACTACCACAGCAACTACCATAGCAACTACCATAACCTCTTCAATGCCTGTTCCTCCTGAAACAACACCTACAGCTACTACAGCTATCCCTACGGTGACCACCAGAGAGTCATCAACATCTGAGAAAACCATAACAATAAAAGACACTGACATGTCACCATCCACTTCCAAAGCTGTTACACCGCCACCTGAAACACCGATTTCCACCCAGAAGCCTGGTGTTCCCACTCCCTCTACAACTTCAGTCCCAGCAGCCTCCTCAGAAAGGACAACGGAGCAGGACACAGTGGATCATACCACTCCAAGTGCAACAACACCTGCTGCTCTGACGTTGCCTCATTCACCAACAGAAACAACCAGACACACCACAGAGGGGACAATACCCATGGCTGTATCACCTACAAGGATGTGCACTGTAGGTATACTTGTTATACATTGACATAATTTGCTGTAATCTCTTTTTAAGTATTTAAGATGCAAATTTTTGCTGATTATGGTTTCATTACAAGTACAATAGACCATAAAGCAGGGCATGCTTTAATTTGTGACCACCTATAATTTACAAGTCATTCGCATGGTGACCTGATAACAAGGATAGAGATGTAGAAATGCATATCCAATCCTTGTCTATAAACAATCTGTTTAAAAACCATAAAAGCCAAGGTCGCAGTGGACAAAATGCCGAACTTAGGTCTTCAGAATTGTACTTTATAAGTCGATTGGTGATGAAATGGTGGTATTTCTGCTTCTTTTATTTTAACACTGTGAAGGCATCATATAGAAATTCTGCTCACTGAGGTAGGCCGGTGAGAAAAAACACATATATGTATCCCATAGCAGGAATCTACATTGTGATAATGCAGTTTATTTCTATATTTAGGAGTTAGTCCCTATATCACATCTTCTATTATACCATGTACCCTTGATTTTCAGCTTTTTATTGGTTTCTTTTTAGCCTCCTTATGCTGAGATTGTCGATGAATGCACAAAGTACATCTGCGTCAACAACCAGCTTGTCCTGTTCAACAAATCCCAGAGCTGCCCCTTCACTTCTGACCCTCCGAACTGCGGCCTGCTCGGCTTTGCCATACTGGTCAATGGAGACAAATGCTGCCCTAAGTGGGACTGTCCATGTGAGGAAAACTATTTTTGAATTTCTATTAACAGTTACTTCAAGTTTCAAGCTTGGACATAGAGTGACAATGAGCAACCCTCTGATTTTGTATTTCACCTGAGCGATGATATCCCCCTTGGTTGTATCTCTGAGTGATTCCATTAACCTTTTCCTGATTTTGAGTGTTCTCCCTCCTTTTTTTCAGGTCGCTGCTCAATGTTTCCAGATCTTAATGTGATCACGTTTGATGGGAACAGTGTTGCAATCTACAAGGCTGCCTCATATGTGGTGACCCAGCTGCCCAATGAGACTGTCAGCATCCTGGTTCAGGAGTGTCCTGCCGACTCTGATTCACCTGTGAGTCAATATCTAACTTAACAGATTTCAATATAAGTCACTGACTTTTCTGCCATTGATTTTGACCAGATGTTCTTCTTTTCTGAAGCTCCTCTGGAATTTCACCAACCTGTGTCTGGTGGCGCTCAACATCACCCACAACTCTAACCACATCATCATCAACAGGCTGCAGAGGAGGGTAAAGGAAACACTTTTTAGGTGTTTTATATGCTCCTGTTACAGATCAGGATAACATGCGTTTGATGTTTTCCCTCAGCTTTATGTCAATGCTCGGTATGCCAAGCCTCGCTTCAAAAAGTTTGGCTTTGAGATATACGACACCGGCAACATGTACCTGATCCGCAGCCCGGCCGGTCTCAAGCTGCAGTGGTACCACAGCACCGGCATGATGGTGATCGACACTGAAGGCTCAAGCAACAAGCTTCCCACCATGGGCCTCTGTGGTAAGAGCAGCCAAACTCCTACTCCCTGCACAATTTCCCCAGTATCAGTTCTCTTTCTAACCCTAACCTCTGTGTTTATAAAAACATAAATTTCCTTTCATGAGGGCGAGCTATATACTGTAGAACAGATAAGCCTGGGTTTTTTATGGATCCAGAGTTGACCATATTTGGAGAGTATGTGGAGTAGGAAAGAAGCCAGTGGATGCTTATTAGTTGTGCTAACATATTAAAACTAGAATTCACTCACTAAAAAATCTGGAGAAAGGAGTTCTTAGTTGGTCTGCAAGTGCTATAAAAGTCAGAGTAAGACACTTCTGATATTAGCTTGGAAAAACTCGCCAAAAGTCACCAACAAAACAAACATAGCCGAGTGTTTCGAGTTCATGCAGCTAGTAGCACCTTCTTCTGTCTTAAAGCAGCCATGCCCCTAACTATACCAGGCTTTAACATGTTTGATTTAGCTGTAAAGTTGAGCCTTTCTTTTTTAGATTCAAAGTGAAATTATTCACTTCTCTGCCCCAAGTGGCCAGTAAAGGAATTGCGTTTTTTGGCACTTCCAACTTGTGAGTTTGTAAAACTGATATGTAGGGTTACAGCAGCATCATGTGAAAGCAAGTTTAATTTTTTACTTTAACTTTGAACTCTGTAAATGAGCATAAAACCCCCCTCACACTCTCCTCAGGTTTCTGTGACGGGGACCCAACAAATGACCTGACCATGGCAAACGGCACAACAGTGGGTGTAAATGAAGATCCGGCTCTTTTCATCGACAGCTGGCAGGTTCCCAACACCACCAGCTACATCAGCCACAGCCGCCGCCGAGAGCACAACTGCTCCACGAGCGACTGCTCCAGCTGCCTCAGCATGCTGCAAAAGAACGCCTTTTCTCCCTGCCATGCATTTGTATGTGAACCATTGAATCATTAGTTAGTGTTCAGAATATTAATGTTGTTCTCTTATGTAAGCAAAATATTTTGACAGTTGAATTAAAAGACATAGGCTGTTGAACTACTGGTATAACCTGTACTGGGAAATGAGGAGTGATGATTTATGAAGCATGCAATGATGGAAAAATACAACTTCTAGTGTAAGCTAATGTTGTAAAATGTTATTTTATGTTATGTTTTATTTTCTCTTTGTTTCTAGGTCCCACCGAGCACATTCTGTGAGGTTTGGGTACGGGACGCGGAGTATGTCAACAACCAGTGTGTGGCCCTGGCTGCTTACGTGGCCTCTTGCCACAAATTCAACATCTGCATCGAGTGGAGGAGTCCAGATTACTGCCGTAAGATTTCTAGAAGCCTTTTTAAACAATCAGCTACTTTTAGCTTCTCTGAGTTCGTTTTTTTTACTGCCAGATCTAAGGGTGGTGGAAGATGAGCCCACACACTAAAGCCTGGCTCAGACTGCAGGATAATCAGGCCGGTTTGAGGTCCGCGTCTCCCCAGACAACCAAAATGTGTTTGTTTATATTCAATGTTTTTGTCTCTCTGCACAGTGCATTAAAATCTCAAATTGAACCCCCAGACCCATTGTTTGGATGAGCTCGTTCCTCCACCAGGCACGATAATCTTTGTAAAATCATGTAGTGTGTGATGCGCCATGATTTTCATATCTTGCAGCGTGAGCATGCTTGTGTCGGATAGGATTTTAAAACTCCTGTAGAGTGAGGGTTAGGCTTTACTCAACGCCGAGAAACGTCACATGTTGTGATTAATAAAACTTTTTTGGGGGGCTGTGTCTGCAATTTGTCAACACTGTGACATAAAGGGTCTCAAGTCTGACTCACCAGCATCTCGATAAGATACTTTACACTTTATTGTTCCATGGGGAAATTTGTCTCTGACTCACAGTGCCTCCACTGACTTTATTCTGGTAGATTTTCTTAAAAACCTTTTTGGTTCTGTTCTATTTAATCTCACCACATTCAAGCCATGACAGTGTGACCGTCAGCCAGCCAGACTACACAGAAATCAGCCAAAATTAACATTATTCACAACTGTGCTTCTCGTTTGACGATTTAAAATTCTTCTGTAAAAGATGCATCTCACAAGGAACTGGAATCACATGAGGCCAACATCACTAATTATTCACAATGCAATATAATACCATGAAGGCAGATCCAGCTCTGAGCTCTGTACACCACCACACGTGTACCAGGTTTAACGTCTTAAACAAAGTTTTGTTCTTGAAGCACTGACATGTTTGTTTTCTCTTCCTGCAGCCTTCCTGTGTCCCGACACTCTGAGATATCAGGCATGTCTTCCCACCTGCACGTCTCAGTCCTGCCCTAACCACGACTATGACTCAGACCCAGACCAGTGTTCAGGCCTGACGGAGGGCTGCGTCTGCCCGGAGGGAACTCTCCTCCATCGGCCGTACTCCGCCCTCTGCATCTCACCTGAGAAGTGTGGTAAGACATGAGTACCTGTCTGCACTACAGAGAGGGAGGTCTGGAGCTGTTCGAAATAATAACTTGGCCTTAATCCCAAAAGCTAATTTCCATAACCTAAAATAGTGTCTCTCTGTGTGCATGCTATTTGTTTGTGTGTGTTTGCAGCCTGCACTGACAGCTCAGGTGTTCCTCATGCACACGGTGAGATCTGGAAAGCCTCGAAGGACGCCTGCTGCATGTACCGCTGCGACAACGACACCATCGTTCCCATTGAGTACAACTGTTCCAACGTAGCTGCCCCCGTGTGCCAAAGAGCAGGAGAGGTGATCATCAGCCTCGCTGACGACACCAGCTGCTGCCCACAGAGAGTCTGCGGTAAGACCAACAAGGATCCCTGAGCATGGTCTCATTTAAGCAAGCATCTGAATCTTACAACTTTCTTTTTTCTATGATTATTAATTATTAGATTAAGATTATTAATCACTGGTGTGACTCTGCAGTGTGTAACCAGAGTCTGTGTGAGCTGCTCCCTCCTGAGTGTAAGTACGGGGAGAAACTGGTGTCGTACTACAGACAGGACTCGTGCTGCCCGGACTACGTGTGCGGTGAGTTTATCTCTTTATCATTAAACCCTCCGAACAATAGAGCGATGGCTCCTCTTTACTGTACTGTCACTTTCACTGTATTAAGAGTTAATCAGCTGATACCAGCACAAAGATTTTGTGTCTTCAGAAATTGAATCACTGCCACGATAACTTCCACTTCACAGCTGGAAGATTGCCTTTATATTCTGCATTTTAACTTCCTCCCTGTCCTCACATTTATTGATTGATAGTTTAATTGGCCAATTTTCCTGAATGTGAGCTGATTCAAACACAAACTTACGGAGGTCTTCTAACTCTACAGCTCGCTCTTGTCCTTGTGCATCATAGGGGGAAAACATAAAACAAATCATGAATGTATTGGCTTCTGTTGCTCCAACATTAATGCTTATCTAAGCTTTCTCTATCCAACCTGCAGCTTCGTTTTAAAAATAAACAATGTCTGTATGTGTGTGTGTGTGTGTGTGTGTGTGTTACAGAGTGTGATCCCGACCTCTGCGAGTCCGATATTCCCGCCTGCAGAGAGGACCAGACTGTGATCGCCACCCGAGCCGACGGCAGCTGCTGCCTCGCCCACATCTGCAGTCAGTCTGAAAACTCAGCAGCTGAAATGCTGTCTTCTACTTCTTAATAACCTTTCAGTAAATGATAAGATCAGTGTGATGTATGAAGTGTGTATGTCTCTGCAGTGTGTTCTTCCTGTGCGGAGACGCCTCCTCGCTGTCAGGATGGCGAGGTGCTGACGGTGGACGGTAACACCACAGACCACTGCTGCCCCGCCTACCAGTGTGGTAAGAGCACATTATGTTCTTATGTAATATATTAACAGACAGCAAACAAACTTTGAATATATACATGATGGCATTATGTGCCTGTGTGTGTGTGTGTGTGTGTGTGTTTTCAGTGTGTGAGCCCTACAGGTGTCCTCAGCTGAGTTGTCCTGTCGGGATGTCGGTGTCGTCCGTCTCCACTCCGGGTCGCTGCTGTCCCAGCCAATCATGTGGTACGACGAGTAGAGCCAGCTACAAGAGGAACATTTAGAATGAATTAAAATCACAGCTACATCAGATGGAGATTAAGATCCACAGCAACATAAGATCTGGTTATGATAGGTTTAAGTTTGTTTTTTTGAAGAATTAATTAACCCTTTATTAACATGTTTGGTTTATGGTAATAGAATGGTTTATTTTTAGTCTCAGCTTTGAGTCTAAACGCAGCTGACATGTGGAGTAGAAAATAATTCATGTTTGGTGTTTTTCAGAGTGTTCCTGTGAAAAGATCACCTCCCCAAAATGCGGCCTGGTACGACATGATTTTTTGTATTCTTTTGACATTTTTGAAGAGTTCATTTGCAAAAGCAGACAAACCAGTTTTATACATTTTTATAAAACTCTTCTTCAGATAGAATCACTCAAACTGTGGTTGGGTGGCTCTGACCCAGTTTCCAATATGCTTTGTTGGGTTTTTGCACCAAAAACGGATTATAAGATCAGAAAACAGCAGCTTCTTAGGCTCTCGGCGCATTTTTTCCAGAACAAGCGTTTATCTGTTTTTGCAAGTGAAATCTTAATTTCTTCATATTTAATGTGTTTGGAACTTATCTGATGTAATGGCTGCTCAAACTTTGAGAGTCTCAGAGCTTTAAAAAATAAATTAAACAAAATATGCCGAAAAGACAGACATGAAAAACTTTATTCATTCCAAAAAGGTTGAGATCTCAAAGATACTAAAAGGAAAACATAATTTTATTCTTCTTGTCCATTTATAATAGTTCCTTATTCTCTGTGTGTTTTATGTGTGTGTCTGTGTTTGCTCTACTTGTTTTTGATTTGGTTCTTTTTTGTGTTCTGCAGGGAGAGGCTGCACAGCTGGACCGAGCCTTCCTGTCCGACCCACAGAACCAGTGTGCCTGCAAAAGATACAAGTGTGGTGAGTGCTGCAGACGAGGGAAACTGCTTCAAGTTCGAGATGAGAAAACTCAGACGTAGACTTGCTTTGTTTCATAGCTACTACACATTTTATCGTAATAATAATGATGAGCTTCATATTTTATTGTAAGCATGAAAATTGATTCACAATTTAAAGCTGCTATGAGTAGATTTTTAGGTGGTTATGAAGCAGGCTGAATGTAATGCTGATATCTCTGTATGACCTCAAAAAGCAAAAGAAATCATCAGCTGCAAGATTGATTATTTCTATTTCTATCTACTGCTGCTGGGGGGGCAACTTTTTTTTTTTTAGCACTGTAAAAATGGGGGAGATTTTGGTTTCAAGAATACTACCACAAAGCACGAGATGCACAAACACATGAATTGTTGAGAGAGCAACAAAATCAGAAAAATAAATCAAAGAAATTTCACAGATTTTTGCTCAGGTTACCAAAAAGCTTAAATTTAAATTAGGAAGGCAAAAAAAATTGAAGCCCTATTCACTGTGACCTCCTTCCTGCTTCTGTTTATGTGTGTGTGTGTGTGTGTGTGTCCAGTGCGTGAGGCGGTGTGTGTGTTTGGAGAGCGAAGCGTGTTGCGGCCGGGTCAGACTCTGGTGGAGCACGATGAAGACGGATTGTGTCACAGCAGGCAGTGCAGTCGCAGCCTCGACCCTACGAGCGGCTTCCACCTGCTACGCACCAGCAGCATCAACTGCTCCGCCCACTGCCGACCAGTAAGACCACCGCACACACACACCAGTGCAACTTTTTCACTTGCTGCCCTTAACTAATTCCATGTATTCGTCCTCTCAAACAAATCTGATTTAGCAATGCAGCTTGCATTTGAAACTGATGACTTGACGTATGTTTCAGAATCAGATGTACATCCCCCCGAAGGATCAGTCGACGTGCTGCGGAGTTTGTAAGAATATTTCCTGCCTCTATGAACATGAGAATGGGACAGCAGTTCTCTATAAGGTAGGAATTCAGCTACATTCAAATTAACCAAAAACTAGTAATAATGACTATTTCACATATTTTCTTAAATACCTCACACATCCTGTAACTTCAACAATGCTTGTATGGATCCCTTACAGCACTGCGTAGCTGCTACAGTCTGTTGTTGATATTTATGGTGTTGATGTGTTGTTGTTTTTTTTTTAGCCGGGGAGGTCGTGGGTTTCAAACTGCATGAAGTTCGACTGCACTGACACTTTATCTGGACCCACACTCATCTCCTACTCCTTCAGCTGCCCGCCTTTTAATGAAACAGAGTGTATGAAGGTGAGCATACAGAAACACACACATGAAAAAACGTACATAATGCACAAAGCACGAGTACACCATGGGCGGCTGTGGCTCAGTGGTCTCTTAACCGGAAGGTCGGAGGTTCGATCCCCAGTTCCATGCAGCCACATGTCTGATGTGTCCTTGGGCAAGACATTTAACCCCAATATGCTCCCGCTCTTGGTCGGCAGTGAATGAATGTGTGTGAAGGGATTAGTTAAATACTGAGGGATGATAGCAGCAGGCCGTCCCCACCAATGAGATTAGAGAGCTCAGGAGCTCCCAGAAAGCTTTTTTCCAGATACAGAAAACAGTGAGGTTTCAATAAATAAACATTTACATATCAAATGTGTGATGGTTGGTTTATTGTAAGTCAAGTATAAAGATGAGTTCAGACAAAGTTAAAAAAAAAAGCAGTTATCTTAAAGCATACTGTATATCTAGGACGCTCAAAATGTAAATTTCCAACACATTGAATATTTTCACAAAATCCCATTCCTCAGGGCCTTCTCTGAGGGTCTCACACTATGAAGGTTATCTTTACCGCTGTGTTAAATCTTTGACTCTTCTCTGCACTCAGATCGGTGGAACTGTCGTAAGTTATATGGACGGATGCTGCAAGACATGTGAGTATCTGATCTGAGTGTAGTGGCCATAAATGTAGCTAGTGTCGCTCTGTAGGCTGCAGCTGACACTGAAGAGTGCACTCATCTGCCGCTCAACATGTTTCCAACATGTTTGCCCTTCAGTTGGTCTGTTTCAGTCCAAAATAAAATCATGCACATTGTCAGGGCTGGATCCCAGTTCTTATAATCTGTCTGCTGTTTATTCAGATTCGGGAGATCTGTCAGCATGCTTCTCAGTGAAATCAGAACAAAATGTCAACAGAAAACGTCTCTGACGTGTCACTGAGAAGCGTCTGATTGAATGCAAAGTGGGTTTATGGGTTTATGTGCTGCAGCTTACCATCATTCATGTACCAATCCCACCAGGTACTGGATTCTCTCTGTTCCCTTTCCCCACTAGCCCCCTGACTCCCACAGTTAACACAAACTGTGAACGAGGTACATAAAAACAACAAGGCTTGTCAGTGCCATTGTTGATATTCAACAATGTACTCCCTCAAAAAACAACAACAAAATGACGACACAGGAAAGTCTCACTAAAACATTTCCCCCCCTCTGCAAAACAGTCCTCTCAACTGCTGTCTCATTTCAGGTCTTTGAGAAATAAAATCAGTAGAAATTAATTCAAAAACTCCTCAAAAATGCTATTTGTTGCAGGCATAGCAGTCACCCCTCTTTTGGAGCTGTTAACTTGGTTGTGTCCACCCTCTTTTTTCATGCAAAATGTTTTCTTAAAATTATGTTTTAAAGGACCATTGAAGGTTTATAGAATAATTGCATTCTTAAAAAGGAGTGGGTGACACAAACCTTTTCTTGTAGGCCAAAAATGCTGACACACTTGAGTGGACAGGGACAAGAATTTACTCCCCTGACCCTCCCCGTGGATCATATGGATTATAAATCCACCACAGTTACTGTAAACTCTTCCCCCCACCCCCCATTTAGCACTGTCTGGGCAGTGCATTGTTGATTGCCAACAATGTACTGTTGGTAGTGGCCCAGTAGTCGGGCTTAGATGTCTGTATGTGTCTGTAGATTCTGGTGTGGGTGTGCGGGACCTTTTCTTTAAAACATGTAGCTGCTGTAGAGGATCTGCATGCTGCAGCGCTGCCTGGCCACCAGAGGGAGCTGTGTCGGAAACTGAAGCTGCTCTGTGAGGCATTTAACCATCAAAGTATCAACAGTGCAGACACCTAAACAAACGTCTGGACAAATATTTAGAAACACTCAGATAATAGGTAATGGAAGTCAGATGCAAATATAATAAAGGTTTAAAAAGTGATTTACTCAAGCAAATGTACTACCCCATAGAGAATTGAATCTAGTACAAGAGTATTTGAATAAAGTACTTAAGTGTGATCATCACAATTGTATTAAATATTATAAGAAAAAGAAGTCATTGTGCAGTAAAATAATTCTGAACGTGTTTCTAAGGAATCTTAATGGTCACATATTATGCTAAACATGTTTCTCTAACACTAATATGTGTCTCTAGTCCGTCTACAAACCCCCCAATTATGCGAAAAGTCCATTCTCTCCGTCTTTTAACTGCTCCACTTTTTAGAAAATGTGTGCTCAAACAGGCCGTTTGGAGATTTCACTTCATCACATCACAAATGGCAGTAACTCCTCCCCCAGGTGGGTGACACTCCCACAGCTAGGTGTTTGTTCTGCCCTCTGAGTCTGCCTTCTCACCTTTAACAATAGGACATGGAGCGAGAAAGCCCGAGACACCCAAGCCCTTCCAGAGAGGGGGCGTGGTCAGAAACAGCTCATTTACATTTAAAGGTACAGACACAGAAACAGCCTGTTTTGAGCAGGGCTGAAATAGAGGAGTTTATAGGCATGATCAAATACAGGATCAGAGTGGATTTAGAACAAGAAACTTCACACACATGTTTTAGGGAGCTCTGAGACTTATTTAAACTTGTTGAAAAGGAGGATAATATGTGACCTTTAATATTGAACAACAATGAATGCCACACACTGCAGCTTTAACTTTTTTCTAATTTGTTTTTGTTTATTTGTTTACATGTGGCACAAAGGTTGACGGAGCATGTGAGCCAAAACTGTCTTTTGTTGTTTAAAAAATGTTCATTGAGATTTGTTTCACGTCTTTTTGTTCTCACGATAAATACTTCTCATCTTCTTCAAGGATCTCATCATCCCAAAATATTTTTTAATACTTTTGTTATCGCTCTCAGAAGATGCTTAATTTGACATTTCTTGCTTACCAGGAAGCTTCCTCCTTTGTTACTTTCTGATTAAAAACCTTTCCTTAATCATTTCTTGGCTCTTTTTCTTCTCACTAATTCATCCACTAAAACAGCTTGACAGCTTGGGCATGATCTGCAGCATTTGTCCTTCCCAGGACAAATACATCTTGGTGTTTGCTGTGTCTTCTAAATGCAGCAATTTCCATGTTTTGCTGCAAATTTGTACGTCAACTTTGTTGCTTTTGTTGTTTATTTGGTTTGTTGTTACATGACCAGGCAAAGAAGACGGGAAGTCTTGTCAGAAGGTCACAGTGAGGATGACGATCAGAAAGAACGACTGTCGCAGCAACAGGCCGGTATGTTTGTATCTGATGTGAAATCATGCTGGTCCTTTTTATTCAATTTTGAACAAACATGAAAAACCTGGAACATTTGTACAACTTCTGTTATAATACCAACGACAAAGGGCAAACTTAATACATAACTAATCAGACATTGCAAATTCAGCTAATCTTGTGTCGAGAGAGGGTTCTGCAGGATTTTTAAAATCTTGTAACCTGAAGAGCAGGAAACTTTAGGAACATTGTAGAGCAATGTGTTGCCCTTATCAGACATTTTAAAAAGAAATAAAGAACAATACAGATATAATAAGTCAGCTTACAGTAGCTGGGATAATAAAATACAACAGCTTTTTTGCTGGGCTTACATAGTTAAACAATAGTAAAGGACAGCTGACATATATATAATGTTACAAAGGGAGAGCAGTGTATCATCTGCATAATGATTCAACCTGAAATCTGACACATTAAGGGACACGTTTCCAATCTATCTTGTAACCCCCACTGGAGAGACCAGAGGATGAGCTGCCAGTATGAACAGTTTTGCTTGGGCAGCTCTAGCTCAAGCAAAACAAAGTTAGAAATACCAAAAATGTGGATGTAACTTGACTTCAGGTAAATAAAAAAAGTATGTATTGGACCTGTTATGATTGATAATGAGTTAACTCTACTTACTGCCTCACTGCTTCTTTTCTGCTACCAAGCTTTAGCTATCTTCTGTACCGACTCTCTGTGTCCTGCAGGTGAACATCGTGTCATGTGATGGAAAGTGTCCGTCTGCCAGCATCTACAACTACAACATCAACACATACGCTCGCTTCTGCAAGTGCTGCAGGGAGACGGGGCTGCAGCGGCGCTCCGTGCAACTTTACTGTAGCAGCAATTCAACGTGGGTCAGCTACACGATCCAGGAGCCAACGGACTGCTCCTGCCAATGGTCCTAAACACACACACACACACACACACATATATACACACACTGTTTATAGTTACATGCAGTTAAACTGTAAGATATTGGAGAGGAAGAAAATAAACATCGGACAGCCATGTTGCTTTAAAGGGTTCAGAGTGTGAAATACTGAGCTGTGATTGGCAGGAGTGCATGACTGACTGGTTCTTGATCTAACAGTCGTGGGTCCTGCTGCCTCTGCTGGCAGGTAGGTGGTATTGTGGTGTAAACAATGGGTCGTTTTTACTCAGCAGGCAGCTGGAAATTACAGCCTGCTGTATGTGGACTTGATCCTTTGATATTAACCTCCCTAGTGAAATTTAAAAAAAGGGTCACAAAGAGAAGACAGCGGCCTACATATGACAAACACTGCTCAGTGGCTAATTGTTTAATAATGACTAATAAGCATCTAGCATGCTACTAATTAGCTTACTTAACTATTATCAAACTTATAATTGATACATTTAGAAACATGCTGCAGATTGAGCTCAAATGTTTTACTTTCCTACCACTCCTCCACGTACCTGCCAGCCGTTAAAGAAAATGTCTAGCAGAGGAATTGAGTAAGAGTTGATATTTTGTGTGGTGTTTATTGGCTGAGAAGTGAAAGATTTGAAAATGATTTTTTTGTGAAACAGACGATCCCTTCAGAGAGTCATATGGTGACCCTGAACCGTGTGCGTTGTGCCGTCTTTTTGTAAATAACTTTCTTTACTGTCTTTGAGAAATCATTTGAAATGTAAAATTCTTCTATTTTTCACTTCTAGAGAGGTAACGATCAACTGTACACTGAGTAATCTGAAATGTACTTTTATATAATCAATACTAGCAAAGCTTTATTCGTTGATTGACTTCCAGCTGTATGTGGAGCACTTTATTTATTTATTGGAGTTTGATAGAGCACAGCCATTCTGATTTTGTAAACAAAGAGAGGACATCTTTTTTTCTCTCTTGTTGGGTCACAAAGAAAACAAACAAATCCAACACGATCCCGGGAAATATTCGACACATGTTTCTCTGTCAACAAACATTTGTTAATGTTAATCCCACTTTGATAGTAAAGAGGATTTGTATCATACAAATGTACATTTGCATTTTCAATAAATATTTTCTTTTGAAAAATTAATCAGAGCGTCTTTGTTTATTAGGCAGCAGGACCGTGTGCAGTAGAGATGAGGATTTTTCTGCTCTTGAGTGTCAAAAGGAAACTGAATGTAGCTTTAAAAGGTCACTCTCTGCACTTGTCATAAGTTTGACCATCCTTTCTACATTTTGTTTTTCATGAGTAATTGAAATTAAAGAAGAAGAGTTTTCACATAAGGCACCCACACCTTTAAAGGCAAAATATGTCAATTCCGCCATGAGGGGGCTCTCAATCAAAGCAATAAGAAAAATGACGTTGAGGCATCTTAAAATGCTGCTAGCACTCTACCAATTAGACATGTTCAGCATGCAAGCTGCCCATAAAAAGTTCCTGTAACTTCAGAAAATACTGCCCCTGAATATAAACTTTTTAGGGGTAAAACAATCATCCCAGAAACATAATTAAGAACCAAAACTTAGAAACACATTTAGAAGTAATGCATTAAAGATCACATATTATTCTCCTTTTCAACCAGTTTAAATAAGTCTCAGAGCTCCTCAAAACATGTCTGTGAAGTTTCTTGTTCTAAATCCACTCTGATCCTGTATTTGATCATGTCTATAAATCCCTCTATTTCAGCCCTGCTCAGAACAGGCTGTTTCTGTGTCTGTACCTTTAAATATGTAAATGAGCTGTGTCTGACCACGCCCCCTCTCTGGAAGGGCTTGGGTGTCTCGGGCTTTCTTGCTCCATGTCCTATTGTTTACGGTCAGAAGGCAGAACAAACACCTAGCTGTGGGAGTGTCACCCACCTGGGGGAGGGGCGACTGCCCTTTGTGATGTCATGAAGGGAAAATCTCCAAATGGCCTGTTGAGCACACATTTTCTGAAAAATGGAGCAGGAAAAAGACGGAAAGGATGGACTTTTCTCATGGTGAAGTGTATTTTGCATAATATGTGAATTTTAAGTGAGAGGAATTTTTTTCTGTTTTGAGAATAAAACTGATCAAATATTTGCTTTGAAACGTATCTTGGATTAATTGGATTTTTTTGTACTATATTCATAGACAACATAAATATTTACTTTTGTTAACTTGTACATTTAAAAGACCTGCAGACATTCTGTCAACTGTTTTAATATGAACTGAAGATACAATTGAACATACATCTGTTATGTAAGATCGAAACAGCAGAATGAAATCAGTTCTCACAGTTGTCTTTATTATTAAAACTCTTGCTCAAACAGACTTCCAAGCAGATGTAAGAAAACAACACTACAGACCATTATGACCATATAAAAACACTTCAGTTACTTCTCTAATTTCACAAACTCAGTGTTCAGTATCAATTAAATACTAAACCAGATGTATGAGCAATGGATATTCAGAGGAAGTGAGATCTGTAAATGTGCCCTCCTCTCGTGTCTCAGACTCCAGACGGACTGACTGGTCTGAACACACGGCCGATTACATGCTGCTACATGTCGACATGGGCAGATGGAAAAATGATACTGAGCAGTGAACCCACAAAATCCAGGGATTTCTAGCAGACATGTAAGCCTGACCACCACCGTTTATGCACGATTCTGTTGAGGAGACTGCAAAGAACTCATATTGTAAAGTGGTGTTAGGAAGAGTGCCGAGTGTACTCCAGTTCAGATTTGTGTTTTAAAGCTTGAGCTGTTGGGAACATTATGAAGTAACAAGTACAAACATTTCATGACTTTACTTAAAGGAGCAATATGTAACTCTGATACCTAGTGTTTAAAATGGGTACTGCAGTCTAAATTCAAAACATTGTAGAGATCTGTCTCCCCCCGCCCCCTCCTCTCTGGAGTCGATACTCACGCAGGTTGCCATGTGGTGGACACTGAAGCTTCAGTGTTTAGCCAGCTCTGCATCAGTCTGTAAACCTTTCTGCGTTCTAACCTCTCTCCATCTTTCAAAATCATCTCCAATATTGATCCTAGTTTGAGCACGTTTCTGCTCGTGGAGCTTATTAGAAACATGCAGAGGCTTTTTAGGTCGGGTACAATCACTTCTATCTGAACCCCTTCTCTTGCCCGCTTCCATCGCTGCAACACCTGTTGGTTTGACCTGATAACTGCTCTCATATCTGGCAAACCGAGGGGCGTCCAAAACGGCTGTGTGGGGGTGCCTTAAAACCGACTACCTTCTCTGGTCCAAACAAATCCATTCAGGACCAGAATCTAAACATAGAAGGAGGACATACTGCATGCTGCATTGTTGTCAGAGAAGCCTTGAAAACCTTCTTCAAGTTTTCAAATCAGCTCCTAGCTTAAACTTTGGTGCTTTTCTAGGGAGCCAATCCACTTGTATATTTTGCTTGATTCAATATGGACAATAATCCATATTATAAGGATAAGGACAAAATCAACTCGAATAACAATAATAATTTTTTGGTAGTTGATTTGAACAGCTGTCCCACCACTGACTAGGCAGATAGCAAATTATACTTTAACACTATGCGGTGGCATCTGGGGTGACCAATTAGAGTTCAAGGACGGCCTGGCCATCTCATACCACAACCTGCAAACGCCCCTGGGAACTGTTTTAGCCTGAAGTGGAAGTCCAAAATAATTCACATGGGACATTTTCAACTAAACACAGTTTTCATTTTGGCTGAAGAATTAAAAGTAATCTAAAGCAGAAGCAAAACAGTAAAGATATAGACTGAAAACGAGCCTGGATATTAACTGCAGGGCTGACGGGAGAAGTTGGAAGGCAGGGCAGGTCAGGTGAGGTGAGGGTAATTGTTGAATAGGAGTCACATCAGGTCAGGAGGGAGTCACAGGAGAATGAGCATGTGTCAGGGAACACAAAGCAAATATGAGAATGTGTGATGAAGAGTTGGCTGCAGCTCCTCTGAGAAGGGCACATAGTGATCTTCTGATGAGACCTTACGACTGTTGACGTCCTGCCCGCTGGACCTCTGCCGGAAACTCTCTCTGATGTCACCAAACATTTCACAGAACCTGACTGATGCTTGTGTTGTTCTGTCAGTGTCAGACGCTGGATTAAACGAGTAACATTGTTATACAGCTGCAGTGACGTGCTTCTTGATGCTAGTCGATTTCTGGAGGAAGTTGTTCTGTTTTAATGAAATAAACCATCATATAATCTCTGAACTTCAATTGTGGTGGAAAATAACCAAAATCTCAGACTTTTTAGACATGAACATACAACTTAAAAACTCCTGATTTTGCATTGGAGTGTCACCTGAGAGTCCTCGTTTCTTGTGTGTGCTGACTCTGAGGTTTGTTCGGGTGATGGTGTTGTTTCATGGGTGGGGTTAGAACGGGGTTGAGGGTCATCTGGCCCCTGGTAATCCTGTTACAACAGCTGCACTCTCTATCCCCAAACCTCGACTCTTTCACTGTCCACACCACACAGAGAGAATATTTGCTTCACTCTGCCGGACGTTCACTCGCCCGAAAGAAAGAGCGATCTATCATCAGTCTTGATTGTTTTTAGGATCGTCACCAACATGCCCAGCCAGGAGCCAAGAGTTTCTCCTCAGCTTAACTCTGAGCTGTGCTGCAGATCCCAGCCAGAGAGAAATGCATCGTGGGTAAAGGCTCACAGTGACATCACTGGAAAGTGACTGTCAGATTGAGAGGCTAAAAACAGCTGCAGAAACACACACACACATCAACACACACACAAGCACACACGCTGTGGTTCTTAAGTGTAAGTGAAACACAAGTGAGGGGCCTGAAGGGTGGGAGTCACAAACTGAGTTTCCATCTTTGTCATGAAGTTCATCCTGCTGTTTTATTTTCTTGATTTTATCATTAATGTATTAAATCTGAGGAGAGGTCAGAATAAAAAACATGAACGTTACATCATCACAAATCATTTCACAAACAGGCTTATATTCTTAAAGAAGTCTCAATAATCATGTAGTTTTATTTATTTACATATCTATTTAGTGTTTTTTGTTGATTTACATATTATTTAAATATTCTATTTTATTTTCTGGTTGATCTTTGAGTGGTTTATATCTTATTTATTTTATTATATTTTACAATATATGAACCTTCAGTGTTTAATTTATTTGAGTATTTTTTGTTGTCTTAAAGTGTTTTATTATTATTGTTTTGTTTTGATGGCTTACCTTTTTGGTGTTTTATTTTCTTATTTATTTCCTCCACTTTTATTATGGTCTTATTTTCCACCCTGAATTTTATCATATTAACCTCATGAAGAATTCATGAAAGCGTTTCCTCAGTCCGTCTGTAACCTGTTTTTATCCCGTTTGTTCTTACCTTGTTTCTAAGAACGTGTGGGGTGGGGCTGTGGGGGCTGGGGGGAGTCACATCGTTGCTGTTGGATTTATTTTTATGTAAAGCACTTTGTATGAAAGTGCTTATTCAGAATCGGTATTTATTGCCAAGCACATTTACAACATACAAGAAGTTGACAAAACAATTAACAAAATAAAAAAAAAAAAATATTGAATAAGTATCAAAGACCAAACATTTTGACAGCATCGTGCAGAACAGCACAGCTCCTCATTTGCATTCTGTAGTTATGTCTTATTAGTCTCTTTTCTCATATCAATCTATTTTGTATATTTCTTTGTATTTATCTTTAAATGTATCCCTATAAACTGTTCACCATCAGAGTAAAAATAAGATACAGGAGGTGTGAAACCACGTGAACAACACCTCTGCAGGAATCCTCATTACGATGAATGTCAGCGACTGCAGAACACATATCATGTTACAGTGTGCGTGTGTGTGTGTGTGTGTGTGTGTGTGTGTGTGTGTGTGTGTGTGTGTGTGTACGACTGAGAGAAGTCCAGCAGAGTGCAGCTCGGTGCAGCAGCATGTGGACGTTAGGCTGCTTTATGTTTCATCACAGCAGCATTCAGCACTTCAGACTTTTTATCCACATTTCTCTGCAGTGAAACATCATCAATCAATCAGAATATTAATAAAATCATTCAGTAAAAATTCAAATAATATCAACACCACTTATTTCAAAACCACAGCAACATAAAGAGAAGTCCTCGGCTCC